AGGCCATGGTTACCACGCATACGAAAGCCCTTTCGGCGGAAAAACCAGCGGCCATGCAAATTATGGGTGGTACGATCGTGAGACGAAGTGGATGAATTAGGAGCGAAGAGGCGGATCAGTCAAAAACCTCGTTATGCCAGGTAGATCTCCGGTAAGCTTTTTCATCGCCAATAATCTGAACACGAAATCAGTGGGATGAGGAAGGGAAGGAAAGAAACGACGCACAGTGTTATAATGATTTTATTCTGAGATATTGCTACATCACAAACTCTAGTTGGGTATTATTGAGGGATTTTTTGCTCAGGTAACCTTGGCCGTTGTGTTGAAATTCATTTACCCGACAATCAAGTTGAGCCCGCTTGATAAGATATGGAGTCTAGTCTTCAGGGTGACTTGAAGATTATCTGATAATCAGCGTATCGTCGGGACATCGGCACAAAGTGTTCCTGGCGGTTCAATGGTTGAAGGTGAAAAAGCCGCAGGCAGGCAAACTACACAATGGTAATGTTGCGTGCCCGGTACAGTCCGAATTGCAATGAATGAAGCTGAAGCCGTACACTTTGAGGATCAGTCAGAAATAAGTTTTATACAGAAATACGACATGTACCTGCGGAAAGCCTGACCTGGCATGTACCGAAAGCCTTGCAATCATGAAACTGATACATCCGGAAAGCAGCGGTATGGCGGACAAGAACATTCTTGACGAGGATTCCGTGAGCAGTGGTCAAAGCGATTTTGAAATCTTTGATGTGGGCGGCCATTTCCACGCTTCTGAAAAAATCATATCCCCGAGTCCCATAGGCTTCGGATGCATAATTTGTGAAAACGGAGCCCTGGTCACCAGGGACTGCGCTACAAAGCATGTTCAAAAGTTAATCCGCCACACCCTAGTCGGAACGGAACTTCAGTCACCCGAAGATCAGCCTGCGCAGGAGCTGAAGATACTTATTGAAGATGGGAGATGCACGATGAGTGTCATATATTTGAGCAATGTACGTTGCTTAATTCTCGAAACTTGACTGCTCTGCTCGGAGGATCTTTCATTGTGATTTCCGATGTAACAGCTTGATCTTGAGAACTGTACGATTGCACCGACAAGGGAACATGAAATCAGGAAAAGCGCTAATCCATGGCCTGGGTCGCATATGAGTAACCCTTTTATTACTTATAATAATGAAATACATACTCGCCCCATGGAAAGTCGTGAATGAAGTAAACTCAGACCCTCACATATCATACACATCTAAGAAGAGGTACTTTGTTTGAATAAAGTGATGACTAGTATAGATGGACTTACTTTTGAAACAGTGTTCTACCTCCCACACGAAGGTGCCCGACTATTATCTTCCTAGGTTTTGGATCATTTCCTCGGGATGCAATGCTTGCCATTTTCTTGTCGCAGACATTCCAGAGGATGTACGCACGGCGTGTTCCGAAAATTCCCAACCAGTTACAATACATGTCCTTTCAATGACGCCCGATATAGAAACAGACTCGTAGGTCAACAAAACAGACTCCGTATTGACTGCGGTTGTCGGAAGATACTTTCGAGAAACATTGCTGCCACGTTGTGGTAGTTATAAAAAGATGTCCAATCGCGAGATATATGTTGAGCGAGGTCGTGGTATCTGTTTATAATTTATTGGATTCATCCTGAAGTTCGAACGAACACTGTAGTCTATCCTGCAGCGCCTGCTGGACGGTTACCACCACTTCTGAAAGAAAAACGACTCAAAAGACTAACCTGGTTACAACGTCGACAACGGGGGAGCTGTCATACCTAGATGGGGTCTGAAAACGCTTGACAGACAAGACGTCCAGATTGGATCCATCCCACTGGACCAGATCCGCAAAATCCCTTCTCAATGTCGTCTGATAGATATTTCACTGCCGAGAGCTGTACTCAGAAACAACGCCTGGTCATCTTGAGACCCTGTCAAGACGGGATATAGAAGACGAGACAAACAGAATTCGAGCAGCGCTGCCACGGAAGCAAGAAAGGAAGGCGGATGATCACGTGCACACGACGCAGCGTGATTGCGGCATGAGAATAACTTGTCGTTTCGGTCCTGATGCTCTTCATCGTATTCTCCGTAATACCAGTCAAGAGAAAAACTCCTTGATCAGCATCGGTTCCATTCATAATCTCTGAAAAATCAACGATCTATGTTTTGCACTGTAAGCCGACTGTCAATTCGTTGATAACCCCATATCCTAGACATCGGTACAATATTCGCCAGCCGCCCGTGAACCTAGGCCTTGTTGCTGTCTGCTGATGAGCCGGGGATGTTGAATAACAGTTCTCGTATGTTTTCTGTGTCTGGGTAATGTGCTGACTGACATTTTTGTTTAGGAACCTTCAGGAAACTGTAAGTTGCTGTGGAGACACTTGTATTCACGATCAAACACTAGCCAGATTCATGGGCTGCTCTGTGCTTCGTGGTCTCTGAAGATCTGAGGGGTCGTTGAAAGTGGCATCACCTGCAGACGACTCGTGGCGTGAACACGCTCGGGGTGCAGGGTCGCGTTGCGATGGCGTAACCAATGACCGTTGAACGGATTGTCAACTGAGACTGGTTCTGGATGTCAGGATTTTCTACTATGGGACATTTCCTTTGTCGTGTGCGGGCCGCATCGCGATGGCATGATAAGATGGTGGATAGGGTACGTATGTTCTTGTTATCAATGCGCGTCGAGTTTGAATTGGCATCGTTAGTGCCACTCTGTCAAGGACAAAGAACATTGCGTCAAATTAATCCCCCTTTGTCATTGCCGACATAAAAGGTCTAACACTACCACCACCTTCCTTCTTTCCTTTCCACATCTTTTCTTCACTTGCCATGTTGCCCCGTGATTTAATCCGACTCGTCGACGCCCCTATCGCGAAATCCCCAATTCCTTGGGCTCCCTTCATATCCGATTTTGATTTGGCGCAGCTAGACAGCTCTGATAGTTATGCATATCATATTCTTATTCTTGCGACCGATCCTCCTCCCGCTCCTGCAAACGTTGACGAAGATGAAGGTGGACAGATTCAGATCCACTGGCTCTTTGAAGACTTAAAGCGGATATTCACCGAGACGCGTCACACATTGGAAATTACCACTCCTGCGGACGCCGCCGCACTCTACCATGTACTCCAGTATTCCGATCCCAAAATATCAAAGACCATCCTAGAGTCGTACAACGTCCTAGAGCTGATCGAGCTCAAACGTATCACCCCATGGAACTTGGAACGTCTCGTGTTTCCCCTCCCATTGCACCGCTTCCCCACTCTACGGATGGTTTCAGTCTCACCCTCTCCGCCTCTCCTCGGCCCTGACTGCACCTCCATCCCTGCGACCCGCTCTGCATCGTGGGAACAATTCTACCCCGTTGACCCGCGTATCCTCCAAATTGACTCGGTCAAACGCATGAACCTGGATTTATGGCGGCATGTCCTCGGTCGATTCTCTGATATCGAAATCACACAGAGCCATATTATACACAAGATGGTGGCTACAGATCATTTCGTCTGGGTGCACAACTTGACTGCGCTTTACCTAGCAGATTGTTTGATCGAGCGAGAAGTGCTGCTGGGGATCATTGACAATCTGTTAGTACTAAAGGAGCTACGACTGGTCAATTTACTGGTGGAGCATTCCTATAACCAGGACAAGGCTTTACCCAGTCGTGTAGAGGATCTGACGGATCCGAATGCGAGGACGAGGCTGAGGGTCTTGGAGCTGGTAGGGATGGATAGCCATTATGGCATATGCCCTATCTTGAACTACCTCAGGAGGGAGGAATCGGTAATCTTGCCATTTGATCTGGATGGGTTGGATATCCAAAGCTACTCGGAGTATGGCGCCCTCGACTCGGCTCGCATCGTGGAAATACTGCGTAAAAACCATCGCGCGCGAGAGGTAGGGCTTGGAGAGAAAGAACGTAAGTAACTTGCAATCATCGTGCTTCGAAAACTAATCTTTCAATTAGTGCAAGCAATCCTAGAAGTCAAGGACACGATGCTGCCTCCCAAACCTCTCGGAGTGCAGTCCCTCATGTTCGAAGTCAGCAACCTCCGTAACGTGGAAGCCTTTTTGCAACCAGATGGATGGGAACCCTTCCTTCCTCATCTCACTGATGTGAAGATTGTCATTTGCGGTCAGAAGGCGTATATCTCAGATTCGACGCTGGATTCCATCACGAAGATTTTGACTGAACGGAAGGTGCCGGTACGATTGGAAGTGATACCTGATGAGACTGTTCGACGAGCTCTATGACGCGAGTTCATGGCAAGGGTACTGGATTGAATATCTAAATACCCCATTTTTTGGTGATATGAAGGGTACGGGATGAATGTCGATACACTTTATATGCAATATTTGAAGACCACACCTTTTTCATGATATATCCACATGTGAACATCATATTTTTAGTACTGTATAGCTGATTTTGCTCATATGTAGCGGATATTAGAGCCCTCAGTACTCCTCAAAGCAGTACCACCACAAGCATGGGGATGATCGGGAGAGACTCATCGAAATATCCAAGTCAACAAATGAGTGAGGAACTCATTCCTTCGGGGTCAGAAGACTCTGACTCACTAACAGGTCGAGCACAACGTAATTGGCGCGTCCGTCCACTGGCTGGAGGGACCCCCGCAGTGCGGAGTATGCGAAGCTGATACAAATGTTCCACAATATAAATATATGTTGAACTCATAATTAAGGTTACAACCATTGTAACCTCATAAACCAGCTTGAATAGTAGCTCATTACTGTATATTCATGATTTTTTTTCGTCAACAATCAATGGGTTTTATCAAGTTGTATCCCGGCCGCGCGAATGCAGGGAGTCACGTGACATCATCGGTCTCCGGATCTTCCGGATGTCAGCGATCGGTGCCAGGTCTCCGTCACCTCTTCTACAATTCAAATGTTTCATTTTCTAATGTTGAGGCCTGGAAACTATTATTTAAAACGTTGGAAGACATAATGAGGCAAAAGATTCAAAGTACTTGATCCCTAAGCGAGTTGAACGCTTGACCTTGTGGACGAACAAACCAAAGCTGGAATCACACGCTCTACCACTGAGCTAAGGGATCATAAAATCGTCGCCATACTGCACCATATAGTACCGGCAACGCCAGGTTCTACAGGTGAGCTGAGTCAGCGCCTTTTTAGGCCTTCTGGCGGCAAATCCTTTCCACATTTGTCCATGACCGTCCATACTCTTTGTTGGGGACCTGAACAGTGTATGTGTTGCATGCCTTGATTAATTAATGTTGCAGAGATTTTTAATCATGCTAGGAATATTCTCTTCTCATTAATATACCTGGTGGTATTCTTGCAGTCACTTCCTTTCACAAAGTTGAAATCTTTTATTGAGTATTGATAGTCCTCTTCAAATTTTAGTGCAGCTTTACACCTAGCATCATAGACTTTGGATTTAAGATGTTCTAAATCTTCCACGTGTTTTTGTAAACTGATCGCTCTTGGCGCTATAAGTGAGGTGGTGCTTATAATGTTGTCTGGAGGTGGCATAAGCCATGTTGATTCCACGATATCCAAAGGCAATAATGGTTCTGTGCCCATGGCCACGAAATATGGTGAACAACCCATTCTTTTTCTAATGGTTATTCTGTCAGACCAGAATACTGAATATGCATTCTGGCTCCAGTTTTTCTGGTCGCCCTTGGACACTTTGAATAGTCCTTGGCACACATCAAAGTGTGGTCTTTCCGTGATCCCGTTGGCTCGCAAATTATATCTGGATATTCGGATATGATTGATATGGTATTTCTTGCTGAGATATTCGATGGCCGCTACAAAGGCTTTGCCATTATCGGATACAATTTCCACCAAGCTTCCCCAGCAGCACAGTATATCTTCAAATATCCATTCCCCTATGGTTCGCATGGTTTCTCATCTTAAACATCGGAATTCTGGGTAATGGCTCATGGAACACTGTCCTTGGACAATATACTTGAATTGCCCTGACATCGGCATTAACATAGTATCCATATACATCTTCGCGAAGAGAGGTGCAGGTATTGCAACTGTTGCGGGCATGTAAATTTGTCTTGTTTGTCATACTTGGCACAGGTGGCATGTGTTGGAGGATATCCATATGTATACCCGATATTTACTTTCGTTCCTACTTACCTTTTATATCTTACTCCTGTCATTTCCTCGATCATCATATATAGCGAGCCCGTAGTTACCCGTATACCTCAGTTGTTTTGCCCACGCTGTGCCCGACTGAGGTATGTATATCCTTACTGTGTTCCGACTGTATTACTCACTCTCATTCGTAGACCTTACTTATATTCTTCTACCAATAGGTACAGTACACTCATTCAATATACAGTTGTTTTGCCCACGCTGTGCCCGACTGAGACCTTACTTATATTCTTCTACCAATAGGTTATGTGGCCCCATTGCCTATAACTCTCAGTCAAGAAGAATATGCAGCGGATTTTCGACTCAACATATACCACCTTACCATACCACACCACAGTCTTACCACCACACTTACACCCCTGAACAATGTCGTCGATGTCGGGAGTTACTATTCTCCCCGACACGAGTAGCCACTTCAATGGGAAGAATTACGCCTCCTGGAAGCTCCAAATCACCGAGTTGCTGAAGGGTAAAGGCCTCTGGGGATACATTGAGGGAACTACAGTCCACCCTACTGCCCCAGGGAATACCACAACCACACCTACAACTGTACCGTTACCACCAGACCCTACCCCCATCTATTCCTCCTCTCCTTCGAGTGACGAGTGGACCTTTCGAGACCAGCTCGCCCATTCGCAGATCGTACTCAACGTGCTTGACCCTATTGGTTTAGGGGTCAAGACAGACGGAACGGCGAAGGAGTGTTGGGACTCCATCATTGCAGAACATGTGAAGAAAACAGACATGGCACTCTCAGAAGCTGAAGCGTCGTTGAACGCAGTCAAGTTCGACGGAAACAGTGATATTGACGCTCACGTTGCAGACCTGTGCACGAAGCAACATGCTGTGAATGACCTTCGTACGAAACCCTTGACTGATCAGGAGTTCAAGGGCATCATTATTCGTTCAATAATTCCTACAGATCACTGGATGCCTATCCTCCCAAGTCTCTATCAGATGGCAACACCTAGCGACATCTTCTCCCACCTCCAGACCCACGCAGCAACACTTCATGCCACGGGCAAAGGACCTTCCCAATCTCAGGCACTTGCGGCCGCAACCCCTACAGCTGCGCGCAGGTGTCGGAACCCCGATTGCAAGGCACGCGACAAGACCTGTCATACTATGGAGAATTGTTATTGGCCTGGCGGTGGAAAGGAGGGCCAATTTCCCGCTAATTTCGGCCAACCTCGCCGTGCAAACCAAGCATCCTTGAATAACACGGCCGATACAACTAGGCACTTCGTCCTTGCTGCACATGCTACAACCGTCGATGTTGATAGGGACAATGATGGCCTTGTAATAGAGGATGGCAGTACTGGGGAGAGACTTTATGAATGGAATGGTACACGTTCATTTTGGCGATGGGACGAACCTGATAGTGACTGTGCCTCAGAATCGGATGGCGAATTCTCTGACTGGAGTTCAAACTTCGGAAGTGAAACTGAGTCCTTCACTGACATATCCACAGTGGGGGACGAGACAGACCCTGAGATGCCACCACTTACAAGCATTGACAATGACGACGAGGATGAACTAGACGACGAGGATGATGACGACGAACCTGGACAATACACGTGTGAGGCAGAGTCTGCTCGGAATGCGTTCGTTACAACCACCTTCGAGGGACGTACGCCGACTGTCACCCTGATGTTCATAGATTCTGGTGCCAGCGACTACTTCTTCAGAAACCGTGAGGACTTCACAGACTACAAACCTGTCGCATTTCGTACGGGTTCATCGGCCGTTGAGGGAAAGGGGACATTCGAGATCCTAGGCCAAGGAACCATCACAAAAACATTCAAGCTGGATGGGAAAGAAGTAAAGCTCACATTCAAGAACACGTTGCACTCGCCATCGCTAGCAGCAAATCTCATCTCCGTTAGTGCCCTAGACAATGCCGGGCTCTCAACCGTCTTCTCCAATGGTCGAGTCGCCGTTAAAGACCGAGCTGGCAAGGAAATTTTTGCTGGATGAGGATCGGACGGCATGTACATCCTCGATGCTGCGCCTGCACCCACAGCGATGTCATCAAGGTCATCTCCAGTGCCTCTCGGCACCTGGCACTGCCGTTTCATACACATGAGCCCTAAAAAGATTGAAGAAATGGTGTCTAAGAACTTAGTGGATGGGTTGAACATTACCTCTGACCCTATTCAAGGCAGGTGCGAAGATTGCATTCTAGCACGACATGCTTGTCGTCCATTCGACGAGCCTACGGATCCTGATGTCGATCCTCTGGAGCTGGTGGCTACAGACTTGTGGGGACCATCGCGAACGGCGTCGCCCAGTGGGAAGACCTACATGATGGTTTTCGTGGATAGTGGTACATCATTCAAGGCAGGGGAGTTCTTGTCTGACAAAGCTGATGACACGACGGTCGCTGCTTTCGACCGGTATCGCCGTATGGCCGAAACCCAGACTGGACAAAAAGTGAAGCGAGTACGAGCGGATTGGGTGTTCGCAGGAGCTAAGTGGGCTCAATACTGCACTGAGAACGGCATTCTATTGGAACTGACTGCCCCTCATTCATCTGCTCAAAACGGATTAGCCGAACGATCGCTGCGCACAATAATGGAGGACACACGAGCCTTGTTAAGTGACTCCGGCCTGCCTGATCGTTATTGGGCAGAGGCCACGTCAATGTCGATCTTCACGCGAAACCTGGCCCCCTCGAGTCGTCACCCCGGAGTGGTACTGGCAGAGGCATTCTCGAGGCGGCGCCAGGATGTGGGATTCCTTCGTGTGTTCGGTTCGACGTGTTGGGCAAAGAAACCCACATCGGGCGGTGTTTTGGTGGACGGTGGAAGCAAACTTGACGATCGATCAAAGAAGTGTATATTTTTAGGATACGCTGGATCGAACTACTGCGTGCTCGATCAATCTGGGCACGTGTTTGTCTCGCATGATGTCATCTTTGACGAAGGTCCTGCGCATCGAACTATGAGTGTGGGGGAGATGGATGAACCTGCACTCACTACTTTGACTACTACTTTGACTACTATGGCTGATCCTGTTTCACCTACTGAGATCAATAATGCAACACCTGTCACCAATGAACAACCATGCCGATCAACATGCTTGACACGCCCTAGTGCCGAGGCAGCCAAGTCCTTACTATCGGAACAGCGGGAATCAGACGCTCGCATGAGTGGAAATGACTGGGCCACGAATAGTAAACACCCATGTGCATCAATGGCCTCTGGAAAGTTGCCTGACCCGTATATCCCACGGAACCACCAAGATGCACTACATGTTGATGAAAAACGCTGGAAAGCTGCGATGGACGTTGAATACCAGATGCACATGATGAAGAACACATGGGATCTCGTTGATAGGCCTGAAGGTGTAAATGTAATGGATTGTAAGTGGGTCTATGGCATGAAATGGGACGGCGATGGCAACTGGCTCAGGGACAAGGCCAGACTCGTTGGAAAGGGCTACACCCAACAATACGGACTTGATTACAACGACACTTGGGCTGCAGTAACTTGTCTTGAGTCCGTTCGCATGTCTGCCGCCATTGCAGCAAAACTCGACCTTGTTCTTTGGCAAGTGGATTTCATCTCGGCATACCTCAATAGCGAGACAAAGGAGGACATCTACATGAAGCAACCACCAGGCTACGTCGTCGAGGGACAAGAGGACAAGGTATGCAAACTAGTCCATACAATCTATGGCACTATGCAGGGAGGTCATGATTGGTTTGAGACGTTAGGGAAGACTTATGAGGAGCTTGGATACCGCGCATCCAAGGCGGATCCATGCGTCAGGATGATTGGCCGGCCTGGCGGTGAGTACACAATCACAGATACCTACACTGACAACGATTGGGGAGCGTCGTCTAGCACGAAGGAGGCAAATTTGCGGAAGAAGGAGCTCGAGGAAAAGTGGGAGCTCACAGATGTGGGGGAGAACCGGT